TGCTCTCCACTAAGGCTAATGATGGTTGACTTTCCCTTAACCTTGCTTAGGGCCATATTAGCTCAAACAAATCCTTATTAAGTCCTAATTAAACGCAGCTCTTGGGTCATGGGGAAAGTGGGCCAGAATTAATGCATTTGGGCTCAAGAAAGTGGGCTGACAGGCTGCCCGCTGGGCTGGGCGCTGGGCCCTGGGCGCGGGGACGCGGGCTGGGCGCGAGGGCGTGGCTGGGCTGGGACTTAGGACATGTCTTCGGGCGAGGCTAAGCTCGGTTGGGCGCGGCTCGATGAGCGGGTGCGGAACTCAGCACGAGCGGCTCGGGTAAGAACTAGGGCTCGGTTAAAATGATCAATACTTATACTTTGATATTCTTACACACTTAGAAAAATATTCTAAGTATAAAAATACCAATACTTGGCTATGCTCGGGATTTACCCGAAAATTAACTCGGAACCAAACTAGGGTTCGGAGTCGATCAATTCTCGAATTGACTTGCTATTATTTACTAACCCAAATTAATGGATTAATCTTAACTTATACTTGAGATAGAATTATTCCAAGAATAATTTATCATAATTGAGCATTTAGCACAATAAATATAACTCGGGAATTTCTGAAAATTACGGATTTCACTTATAGTCGAGCAGTGAAATCGTTCTGAATATTATTACTGTTTTGGGGCGTTACATCGGACATCATAGAAACGAGATAGCCTTGATAGCTACCCTTGGAAAGGCTCTTCCTAGCTTGCATAGAAGAGATGACTCGAGGACTGCTTCACCCTATAGAAAACAACAGGCTGATCGGTATCGGGAAATAAAGTAACTTCACGCTCCTGGCATCGAATGTCGGCTCGATAATGAGTGAGCCAGTCCAAGATCACGTCGAAGTCTCGCATTTCAAGGACATACGCGTCGGCATTCAGAATTCGCCCACTGATATTGATAGAAATATCACAAACCAGCGAGTCAGATATAATAATTTTTCTCGAGGCTAGGCTAACCTCGAGAGGATCAACTTTGCACACATTGGTAATAGATAAGGCCTCAAGACAATAGGAAGAGATAAATGAATGAGTTGCTCCCGTGTCACACAATGCAAAAACAGGTATATGGGATATCGAGAGCATTCCGGACATGGTACCTGCGTGGTTGGCGGCCTCGTCGTGGGTGATGGTGTAGACGCGGGCGTGGCCTCCTGTCCTCTGCTGGTGTGGTGGGGGCTGCCTGGGTTGTTGCTGCTGTTGAAGAGTTGGTGGCAGGGGAAGTTGCTGTTGGTACTGCTGATAGGGAAAAGGTTGCTGCTGCTGCCTCTTAGGTTCGGGGCAGGCATAGGCGAAATGGCCGGGGCAATAGCAGTTGAAACAAACGCGCTGGCCTGCTAAGCACTCGCCGGGATGTGATTTGCTGCATTTAGGACACCTCAGATGTTGACCCTAATTGGGTCGGTCGTCACGCCTCTCAAAGGTCCTCTTCTTTCCCTTCTTCTTGTTATGATGGTCGCTCTTCCTCTTGTTGGAGCTAGAGGATGGGGGGACGGGAGCATAAGAGACAGGATACTGATAGGGCGTCTGATAAATGAGCGGCGGCTGATAGGACAGAGGAGAGGAATGACTGGGGGTACAGCCTGGACAGGCTGAGCAGCATGATAATATGATGAAACAAGAGCTATTGGGATGAGACACCTCTCCACTCCCTGAGACCGACTCACGATGTCGGCATAAGACATCGGACCGTGACTCCCAGCTAGCTCACGGATCCTCTGATTCATCCCTTTCAAGAACTTCCGGGCTTTCTTCTCGTCGGTGCTCAATGTGTCACCGACAAAGACGCTCATCTTGGTGAAAGAGCGAATGTACTCGTCCACGCTGGAGTTGCCCTGCTACAAGTGATAAAAGTTGTGCTCCATCCGATCCCAGAAGCTCTGTGGGAGAAACTTGCCTCGGACCATCGCCTTCATCTGCTTCCAAGTGAGGGCGTTAAGCTCAGCCTCTGGCCTCCGAGCCCAGTGGTCAATCCACCAGTCGGAAGCATCCGCCTTCATCTAGAAAGCGGCGAGGGAAACCCGTTGTCTGTCTTGGAGGGGGAGTACAGAGAAATTCTTGTCTAGCTCTTTGATCCATTCCAACACTGTTGTGGGGTTCTCATTCCCCGAAAAAGTAGGCGCGTGCATGCCCATGAACTGGACTAAAAGCCTGGTAAAGTCCATGACCGGATGGGCCTGATGGTGAGGTGGAGTTGGAGGCGGGGATGGAGACGGGGATGGCTGCCTGTTGCGAGCATTGCGGGTATTGGGATTGGCTATAGTTCTACATTGAACAGGTCGAATAAAATTTAGCACAATAAAATAACAAGGGAAATCAAGAGTTCGCCATGAAACACTAGAGTTCAAATTTTTCAAAGGCGGATAGATCCTAAGCCCCAATTTCAACAAGTCATAACATAGGCAGTTCATTACTACTTATGCAAAAATATAAATTTCACATTTCACATTATAAGTATTTCATCGATACTTATTCAAACACATACCTTAAGCAGCGCGGCGTGGCGAAGACGAGTGGTCATAACTCAAAGTCTAAACACATAATCACATATAAACAAGTCTACAGAAACGTAGACTGGCTCTGATACCAAACTGTAACGCCACACTTTATTTTAAAGATTTATCGAATTTATTTATAAAACTCATAATAAATTTTTTACAAATCTCAAATTAAATTTTAAACTCAGTGGGCGCTTCTTAACTACCAAGAACTTTTAACCGAAAATACAAACACTTCAGATAAAATCGATACATGCATGATTACTAATTATCAAACTTCACTTACATTCAATAAGTCCAAAATTATAAGGGCAATTCATAATTCAAGGTCTCAAGTGACCCCAATAAAAAATATCCCAATTCAACATAAGTTCATAAAAACGGAAGCAATAATAATCATAAGTAAAATAAAATAGACCACCACTCGCCCTGCCTCGTCACCCGCCAACTGCTTAACCTGCATCCGTGAAGAGCACGTGGGAGTGAGTACAGTTGGAAAATATTGTACTCACACTATGCATATGAAACAACTGAGAATATGCTAAGATGGTATGGTCGCAACATGAACATAAACAATAAACATCATGTCTCATCTCTAGTCAAATCAATGACTCTAGTCTCATCAAAGACTCACTCATGTGCACATCTACGCTCATCAAAGCTCAGTCATGCCATATCAATGAAACATGAGAGTGAGTGCCACATTAATGACACGGCCTTCTCATAGGTCTTAATGAGATTTACCTCGTAAGTGTAACCGTATTTCATCATACGGGGACAACCGTACCGATGGCCATCAAGCTCACATCGATAGGATACATGCCCACATGCATACATAGATCATACCGGTTAAGCATATTTATACACACATATGCACAGATATTTTAGAATAACTAATCCACCTGGTAAGAATCGAGATAAATCACAAAATGAGTGTAGGCAGCGAGCTTGATTCGTCAATCACCTACATTTAACAAAATAACCCTATAAATGACTATTCAACAATCACTTAATCCAACTAAGCTCACGTAAGCATTTAAGCATGCATTTAATCAAGGAATTCACATTTCCGAAAATATCATATAAGTTTTGAAAACTTAACCCGGGCAGCGTTTTTTTAAAACCGACATAATTCTCTGCACACAACTCATATGAACATGGTTCAAAATTAATTGTAATCCTAACATATGCATCTAAAATTCTTATGAAGACACCGAAATCAAATAAGACCATTTAACAGGTGATAAATCAACAAACACTCAAAATAGAGTCACAGTCCAAAACTGGGAATATGCAATTGACCAGAACTCCGTAAATGTTAGCTAACTGGAGCTAAAAACATGCTTTCAATGGGATTCAAAAACCACATGATAGATAACTAATATGTCTACAACTTCGATGAAGATCACATTGGCAAATAATCATATTATCAACGAGTTTAATCACAAAACATATGATACAGAAAACCTGCCAGAAACTCACATGTGATATAGACAGCATTCCAAAGTTTATCATCTATATTGAGCTACCGACCTCCAAATGACATGGTTCAAGTCTCACATTAAATCTAAGGCATGCCTCTACAACTTGCATTTAGAACACAGAAGCATATAAGGTCATTTGGATAGTGTAAAATCAGTTAACATTCAACATTATATTTCTGCCAAAATACAAAGCCCTATCTCATGCATGTCTACATTCATAAGAACACAACACGAGCTACAGAGCACATATCAGTATGAAATTTATCTCATTTGAATGATAAGAAACAGCCCTATAACTTTTATACAGAGCATAAATTTATAAGAGCACATTACGACATTATAAACCGGTCACACATTAATTACACATATGCTGCCGGGTAACAGAAAAACTGGACGCGCAATATTCTCGTAAAAATCATAACTTATTCGATATAAGTCGGAATCGAGAAATTTCAAAGCCCAGATACAGAAAACTGAACATACTACATTTTATAAGAAGATAGAAACTTCACATTATCGGTCTCTGATGGCTTAAACTGAGGCACAACAGAACAGTGAAAAATGCGATTTCACATGAAATAACAATGAACAAATATAACGAATGTCCTAAGCTCGACCATGATATATATGACTTCTTAACATAAATAAACGAGAAATATATGATTTATCACAGCAATAACCGGTCTAACATAAACGAACGAGAGTTATCAACATTCCACGATTTTTACAAGACATCGAACGAATAGACGAAGCATATACGCACGATATGTATACGTATCTAACATGTGATAATCGAGTTCGAACGAAATCCCGAAAGGGTTCGTAAATGTTACCCGTCTTCGGGAAAGAGATCGGAAAGACGGGTCCAACGAACGGGACTCGAAAAGCTCGAACAGATCTTCGGCGAACGGGTCCGGGCTGCTCGCGAATGGAACGTACGTGGTGGCGGCGCTCGACGGCTATGCGCGGCTCGCGATGGAGGTGCAACGGCTGCCGGTGATCGCGAAGGAGTGCTCACGGCATGACGGGGACTCGCTACAGTGGCGTCGCGGCGTGACGGGATTTCTGTTCGCGGCGTGGGAGGAGAGCAGATTGTGGCATCGCGGCGTGGGGGCACTCGCTGGTTCACTTCCGGTGAGAGGAGAAGCTGCGAAGTTGCTGTTGGCTCACGGCAGAGGGTTGCCGCAGGGGGGTGCTCCCCGGTTGTCTGGTTCTCGGAGGAGAAAGAGGGCTCGCCGTCGGGTTGCTGGGGCTCGCCAGAGTTGCAGAGTTTCGTGGCGAGGCTGTGGCGTCGGATTCTCACGAGAGGGTGATGGCGAGGATGATGACGGATTTGCGAGGGTGATGAGAGGTGATCGTGCAACGAGGTGAGAGAAATTGATTTTAAGAGAGTTGCGTGCGAGAGAAAGATATGCTGAGGGTGTGATTTTGGAAATGGAGTTATCTAAGCATGTATATAGCCGAGTGAGGAGAGAATGTGCAAGCTGCTGGAGGAAATATCTCCCATGAGACTCGGTCTGGCGTTCTGTACGAGCAGATAAAATTTTATCTGTTTTGGTCGCGTCTTGAGAAAAGAAGGGACGGAAAATAATTATCTGTTTTGGGCTTGCCAGATAAAAAAAAATAGCAGTCCTTTTATTTAAACTCCAAAATGGCCAAAAATATTTATCAAATGGGCTAGAGAAAAACGATTCCAAAATGGTTACAAAAAAATACTCAAAATTGACCGGTTCTCTCGGGCTCGACTTGAAAATTATCCGAGGCTCGGTTCAACGACGAAAATCAAATTGAAATCGGCTAATACATAATAAACATAATATTTATTTAATAATATAACAATAATACAGATACATATTTAGGCAATTAATTACAATTAGATAAATAATAATAATAATAGTAATACAGATACATATTTAGGCAATTAATTACAATTAGACAAATAATAATATCTAGACATTTAAAGACAATTTGGCATTTAATAATAATAATAATAAATAATAATAACAATAATAAATAATTCCTAATAATTCATAATTAAACGAGGCACTACAATACTGTTGTACCCATATCCAATAAAAATGCAATCACCGTCTTTGGTCCGATTCTCATTTGTTTGGGTTCAGGTACTAAAACCTTAGGCAAACACCCCCACACTTTCAGGTATTTATAAGACAGCTTACGATTTTTCACATTTCATAACGAGTCTCATTTTTTTTTTCCTTTAGGTGGTATTTTATTCAGGATATGATTTGCTGTTAAAACAGCTACCTTCCACATGTTTTGGGGCAATCCCGAATTTATCAAATTGCCATTCATAATTTCTTTTAAAGTTCGGTTCTTGCGTTCAGCTACACCGTTCGACTGGGGAGAATAAGGGCTGTCGTTTGATGAATTATGTCATATTCAGAACATATTTGTTTAAAAGGAGCTACATACTCCCCACCCCTATCACTTCAGATTGTTTCAATCCTTTTGCCGAGTTGATTTTCAACTTCGGTCTTGTTTTAGCACAAATTATTATTTTTACTGAGTACCGAATCGAAGGATTCGTTCTCCGGGTCGATCTCACAAGGAAGGCGGTTCGGAATTTAGCTTCAGTATTGATTTCACACAAAAGGAAAACAAATCCTAAACACTCTAATCAGGATGGGGGTAGAATAATTACCAACTAAGAAATAATATGAAAACAATAATCTACCTAAAAATATAAACGAAACAAAGATGGAGAAGCTAGGGAATCGGGGATAATTTATTCAAGTTCTTAGCAAAACCGGGCAATTAATCGTTCAGTTCGAGATTGACACTCTCGCTTAGACATCTAGCAGTTCGCTCCCAATAACTTTTCATAACAAGGGATTGAACATAGACGAGCTAGCTCGAGCATACGACACATGCCAATTATCCCAATCCCAATAACTTTACGTGCTAGCTCGAGCTAGCACGTATTTCAATCCAAAACCAATAGACTATTCAATTACGAAATCATCTACCTCATGCGAGCCTAGGTCTACGACTTCTCCCCTTTCGGTTCTAAGAGTCGCTAATTAACTAGAAGGTGATTAATCAACTAATCATATAGAATTGACAAACCCTAAGTCGACAAATTAACATTCGATCGTTTCCAATCGCAAGATCGAAGTGTCACTCTTTGATTATATCAATCAATCAAGCACAAATTCATCAATTCTGAATTATATCAACTCACATAAGCATGAACAAATCAGGCCCGACAAATATACGTTAAACAAGAACAATCACCCCCTATCCCTAGCAATAAATAGCTAAGTAAAATCAATTCAACACAATCCATCATCTCTCTCAATTCAATCATTTTCATGAATAGAAAATAAAGAGAAGAACTTACAATAAATCGCAATTCCAAGTGTTGAATCTGAATTACAAGCTTAATTCCTAAGTACTATAAAGAAGAAGAAGAAGAGAAACGGAAAAGAAAGATAAAGAGAAGAAGAAAAACGAAGAAGAAGAAGGGAAGAAAAGAGGAGAAAAGAGTTTCGTGTTTTTCTCGGGCCTAGGGTTCGTCTTCCAGAAGGGGAGAGAATAATCCTATGCGAAGTCCCGTGCAAGTATATATAGGGGACGTTGGCCACGGCGTGAGAAGTCTTGGTGCGGCGCGGTGGAGTGTTGTGTCGCGGCGTGGCGCGCTGAAGTCTGGGAGCTGCAGTCGGGGTCGTGGCGCGGCAGGCCCGCGGGACCTGGACAGCTCGCACTACTTCACGTCTCGGGCTCGTTTGGCCTCGTCCGAACTCGGAATTGAGTTTCGTTTTTTTCTGTGTGTTCCCAACGAACTCCTCTATTTAGTTACGCTTGTCCGACTAATTTTTGCCCTCCCAAGGCTTCCGACCTACACACCATAAACAAAGAAAAATCGGAAAAACATACGGAAAACACAAGAAAAACCAAGATAGAGGAAAACACGCGATACACTACAAAACGAGATAAAAACTAACTAAAAGACCTAATATGGGGGAAAAAGAAAGGAAAAATAACAAGGAAAAACGCAACAAAAATGGGACAAACAGGTCTTATAGTTTTTAAATGCTTCCACAACCTCGTCTTTGCTTCTTAACAACTATAAGTAGCAAAATCTTGTATATTCATCGATAAAAGTTATAAAATAATGTTTACCCGTTCTTGTTTGAACAATTTTCAGATCACATACATCAGTATGGATTAAGCTCAATGGTTCAGTACTCCTTTCCACCGAATAGAAAGGTAAATTAGCCATTTTGGATTCAACACAAATTTTACATTTTTTTATGTGATTCAATTTTAGAATTAGGAATTCATTTTAAATTCATGAACCGTTTAATTGCATTTGGATTTACATGTCCCAATCTAATATGCCATAAATCAAAGCACTCAACAGTATAAAAAGAAATAAGCTTTTCATTCTCATTGTAAACGATTACACGGCCATTACATTCATTTTGAACAAACCCTTATCAAGATAGCCACGACCAAGGAATGTTCCAAACTTGTTAAGAGCAAACTTTTTAGCATCAAACACCAGCCTAAATCCATGCTCAACAAGAAGAGATCCGGAGACCAAATTCTTGCGAATGTTTGGGACAAGCAGAACATCCTTAAGCTTCAACTCCTTTCCAGAAGTTAGCTTCAGCAACACTGTGCCAACTCCAGCCACATCAGACGTGGAAGAGTTTCCCATGTAAAGTTTCCGACCATTAGAAGGTGTAACGCCCCGTTTTATTTTAAAGAATTTACTGAATTTATTTAACAAAAACCAGAGTTCTGTGAAGTCCTGTGGACGTTGGAACTTGTTTCGACTAAGTAGTTCGTGAAGTCCTGTGGACGTTGGAACACTAAGACTCAATACAAAACTCGACCAACCAACATATGAGAGTTCAAATAATTCCATCTAATGGTAGACTAAGTCAACCTCACAACAGAACGAAAAGCAAGTCGATTCCCAACTTTCATTTCAAAATCATGTTTCGACAATAGAAATCATTAATCACATGAAAATAGATGGTCAGGCTACCCTACGAATTAAGCTCTGAAACATTACACAAAATTTCATCTCCCAGAAACATGTAAAACCACAAATTTTCAGCTTCAAACTCGAAATACACTATTTTATAAAATTCGAACAAGATATCAACAAAATGGGAACATTAATTCATACTTGAACTTAATGAACAAATCAGAATTTGAAAATTTAACACAACAACATACAACATGCTAAAGTCCATGTATAAAAATCTCAGCTCTGAATGTTGACCGCTACTATTTTTAAAAATTTGTACGAGCATCAAAAGTTTATCGAATTTAAATAAAAAATGAATGAAAATGGACTCCTAAAATTCCCATCTTTTCAAAACATAATTCGAAAAACGAAACGAACACAAACGGGGCTCGACGGATTCTCGCGTCTCGCCGGAAGGAGAAGGTGCTGCAGCGGCTTCGAGAGGGGATGGGTCACTGCTGCTAGGTTGCCGGACGACGCTGCAAGGTTGCCGGAGGAGAAGCTACTCGTCGGAAAATCACGTTCGCAAGTGTTCACGTCGCCGGGCTCGCGGGCTGCTCGAAGGACGAACAAAAGTCGTCGGAACTCGCTGCAAGGGATCGTCGGAGATCGCTGCACGAGTTGCTGCGAGAAGGGCTCGCCGGCGGTCGTGGACTGCTCACAGAAACACAATCCCGCCGGAAGTTGCAGGCCGCCGGAATTTCGAACAGAGGAGGATGGCGAGATGAAGAAGTCTTGCTCACGAACGAATGACGAGATAGCGACGATGATGACGACCAGGGTGATGATGGATGACGAGGGTGATGATTGAGATGGTGATAGCCGGATTTTCTGCTGCTTGCGCGTGAACAAAAAGAAAAGAGACCGATGGCGGCGATTTGCGTGAAAGGTGAGGGAAGAATCAAAGACGAGAGATGGGTTTATCGATCAGAAAAAGAAAAAGCTGCGGGTACGGTTATGAAGAGAGAAAAATCGAGATGGAGAATTATATATATTCTCATTAGGGTTAATGTCCAAGACAAGCACAACTCTGAACACACGACTCACGCGAAAGAAAAAGAGGAGAAAAATCTATCGGGCCGGGCCCGAGAAGTTGGGTCAAATTGGTTTTGGGCCGGGTTTGGTTCAAACGGTTCAAGGAAAAAGATTCTCTCGGGCTCAATATTCACGGTTTATTTAGCCAAAATAAAATGGCTTGGTTCGAACGATAAATTAAAATAAAATTTAGCTTTTTATATAAAATATATTTTTCACACATTATTAATTAAATAATAATACACATTTTAGCATTTAATAGACAATTAGACATTTGATTTAAATAAAATAATACTAGAAATAATAAAAATAATAATAATAAAGACAATAATATTAATTAAAAATTCAAAATATTCCATAAACGAACGGGGCGCTACAGTCTACCCACCTTACAAAGAATTCCGTCCTCGGAATTCGAACAACAAACTACGATGAGAATCTAACGAGAAATAAAAGGAGACAACATCAGCACATGAAATTCAGGTGCTTCCTCCGAATTTCGGTCTCCCTCTTCCAAGTCGCCTAGCCTTGACAACCCTCCCACTGGACTTGACGAGTACCCCTCCCAGCCTTATCCTAACGACCCTCTGATCCAATAGGTCACCGGTACCTCCATACAGGTAGGGTTCTGCCTAACACGCAGCTCGTCACATCTCACATATACTCCGAGATCACGCACACGTTTCCTCCATCAAGAGGCGCAGAACGTGTCATGCATCCTCGCGAGTTCCGGTGGTGGAGTCAACCATCAGGCTAAGTCATCGACTTGGTCTGGAATCAAAAATAGGACTGAGTACGCGTGGCAGTAACCAGAACAACGGCATACTCCACCTATATCTGTACCAGCCACCTCACATGGCACCATTAGGGTTGTCGCTAGATAGCCATCGTTACCAGCGTACCTCCCCATGGTAAGGTATTCTCACACTCTACTCCTCTATCAATACACAAAACCCTAACCGGTCCTTACGTGTCTCGATAGCATACTCCAACAGAATCAACATATAGGGTTGACTTTTTGTATCGAGCTTCCATCTCGTGCCCGGGTCACGGTAGAAAACTCGATTACTACAACGACATGATCTGTGCGTCCTTATAAAACAGGCCGCCACGGAATCCCATACGAATGGGCTAACAGTCCACAATAACACTATATCCTCAACACCAATACCTATAGAACACACGGCTCTGGTTGATACCGTTGTCAACAACTCTTCCCTTGCCGACTCGAATAACACCTCGAATGCGGTTTAGGAAATATCGACTAGATGTTCGAAAACAATCTCCTATCGCAGAATCGGTCTCACGATTAGGGATGCTCGATATTCCCATACTAACGATCTAACATAAATACTCTCTCGCTCTTCGTAGGTCTCGATCCCTACGAAGTATACATAGTCTCCAACCGAGACTCGGGACACTGCCCGAAATCTATGAGGGACCTAAATCTCGCTATCTCGAGAGAATCTCGCATAAGACAAAGGAAAACTAATCGACAAGCCTCACATATCGAGAGTCATTGATTAGGGATTTCATACAACGGTTCGGTTTGGAGTTTAAGGCACTGTCACCCGAGAGATGACACACACACACAGGCGCTGCATAAGCGGGGCGCCGGGACGTGTGCATGCACCTGTTCAGAGACCAGCTGCAAGATCAAGGTTTGGCCGTACACACTGCCTAGGGAGTTCCTGCGTTCGGTGATGGCGGCGGCAGCTTTCGTGCGAGTCAACGGTCGGCCACTGCAGTTGGCCTCACGTCTCTCAACACGGGCGTGCGGGCTCAGCTACCACTTCGCGTGGCTACACCCATCCAGGTTTGGCGTTCAATTTAAGGTACACACCAGAAATTTCAATTTCCGGTTCATAATCCTAGGTACTCGGATAGGAAAAGGCTTCCTTACAATACTTCTCAAAATACAACAGTTAAAGCATTACTGTTGAGCTACAATTTCCCATAGGAATCGAACATTGACATGACTGCCAGGAAAAATAATCCTAACCTCGGCGGTCATCGCCGAACATTAGAATGGTTAGCTCGCTTGACCCTTCCGACTAACAATGTCGGCCGTCACGACAGCTTTTACTCAAGTAGCTAATCGTGTCGGTGGTCCTAAACGAGATCGACCACATATACAACTATAGCCTCCACACTTCGAGGTCTAGCGTAAAGCTTCCCTCGCAAGTGTTTCCAGCTAACATCATAATACCAATCAGATTAAGTCACATAGGGCACATAAACATGAAAGTTGACGAAAAGCTAATTTTTGAAAATTCACAATTCATTTTGGGAAACATAAACATGAACGAGCACAAATTTTCAGCATGCGTGTTGAATTTAAAATGCATATAACTTTCAGTCTACAGGTCAAATCATGATTAAACGACTTGGAAAATATCCCTAACTCATGCCTCTATCACTTTCTTGAAGAACACTCAGGCAGATAAATAATTTAAAGGCACATAATACAGCAAACATACAAAACATGGGTGCAGTGGATAAATAAAAATATACAGCTTGACAGGTTCTCATTGTATGCACAATAACCGAAGCTACAGACATGATATTACTAAAATTCAAAAAAAAACCCCAAGGTAGCTAACTCAATTCTCAACAACTTCTATGAAGACCCCATTGGCAAATTATAACATTATCAATAAGTTTGAATATAAAACGTTTAGTTTGCAAAAACAGCCGGAGAACAATTTTTCGAAAATACAGCACCTTAGTAAAATAGCAACAATTCAAGCTACACAACTCCAATCCATACAAACTCAAAACTTATATGATCTACACATGAAAATATACAAATTTTATGAAGAAGACTGTTTCATAAGAACACGTTTAAGTCACCTAAACAGAGCACACATGCGATACTTAACCAAAATCCTGGTTTCATAAAAACTGGGTGTACATTCCACTCAGAAAAATTATATAAAATCAACTCAAACTCCAAATCATATAAACCCAAAACCTACAGAAACTATACAAGGAAAGCAACAAATTTCATGAAGAGAATGTTTACATATCATCACGTTAAAGGCATCAATTCAGATCATACATTTCATGTATACACCCAGTCACTGCTTCAAAATTCTGGGCATAACACCAACTTAAAAAAATCATATAAAATCAACCAAAATTCGAAATTACATAATTCTAATTCCTACAGGCAGCGTATATCATATACTACATTTGTCATGAAGAACACATTTCTATTCAGGCATGTTAAGATCATCATAAATAGCCATGAACTAAAATCAAATCCTTCTGCCCGAGTTTATCAAAACAGCATGCTCGACGAACTATGAAAAATCAAAACAATTCATTTTAACCCCAAATCACAAAATTCTAAAACTCACAGAAACCTAACTCAAATCACTACAAGGCTCAAGAAGAACACTTGTCCAAGAAACAGCTTCTTGGTCGGCAAAAACAGAGCACAACTGAGGCTCAAAATTTGGGTTTTCATGCCTTCATCAACTCAAAATGATCACACAACAACATAGCCTCGAAATCACGTAAATTACACGTTAAGCAAGCCTCAATATCAATACTTTAAGACTTAAACATCAATATCATCAAACACATTGTCCGAGGTCCAACTCGATCTTATTAAATAAGATAGAAAAATAAAGTCTTATGTCTTTCACTTGAATTATTACATCTTTCGGTTTGATAATATATAACAATACACATTAATACATAAATTCAACCTCAATCATCGAAGATCACATATACATCACATGAACCCGACCAAACCTATCATGATATAAACGAGACTCTCAACCTAATACACTTACCTCATTATATCACATAAAGGGGAATCAATAAATCACATAATTCTAATCTCTTACCCAACTAACCATGCTTTGAGCTAGCATGAACTCACCCTTACTAAGGCACAAGAGACATTAACCACATAACACCAGAGGTTGAACAGAGGCCATGAACCTCCGTGATACTGACAGCCTATAAAACATCGACTCGTCTCATATTTTCGAAACCTAACATAGGTCCGAAGAGGGCGAATAGATTCTCGGTTCTCATTGACCGGGTCCTCACTTGAAGACATTGAATATATTTATATAGCAAGGGAAACTGCTATGGGCATAACTTATCTCGATAACAACATGCCGAAACTCACAACGAGGAACCTATAAAGTCCGAACTTAACTCTATATCACTAGAGTTCAACATCAAACACTAGAGTTCACATTAAACCAAAGGTGGATAGATTTCCTAAGCCCCAAAAGTCAATAAGTCATAACAGAAGCAGTTTCAATACATCCAATGTAAAAATATAAAATTTCACATCTTCACATTATAAGTATTTCTCGATACTTATATAAACACATACCTTAAGCAGCACGGCGTGACGAAGACGAGTGGTCATAATTCAAAATCTAAACACATAATCACTTATAAACCAGTCTACAGAAACGCAGACTGGCTCTGATACTAAACTTTAACGCCCCACTTTATTTTGAAATATTTATCGAATTTATTTAACAAAAATCACAATAATTTTTTTTTTCAAACTTAAATTTAATTTAAAACTTAGTGGGCGCTATATTTTTTTTTTTTTCCAAAAGCTTTTATCCGCAAAAGCAACCACATTAAACAAAGATAGCATGCTCGAATATTAAATCATAAACCTCACTAGCATTCATTAAATTCAAAATCACAAAAGATAATTCATAACTCCCAAGTTTCAAATGACATGATCAATATCCAAATTCCGACATGAGTTCATAAACTAAGCGGAAGCAAAATTAAATAAATAAATGTCATAACCA